TTCTGGTGGTCGTGGTTGTTGTGGTGCTGGTTGTTGTTCTGGTGGTGTTGGTCGTGGTGGTTGTTGTTTTGGTGGTTGTTGTTGTTGTTGTGGTGGTGGTGGTTGTGGTTCTGGTGGTGGTCGTGGTTGTGGTAGTGGTGGTGGTTGTTGTTCTGGTGGTGTTGGTGGTGGTGGTTGTTGTTGTGGTGGTTGTTGTTGTTGTTATAGTGGCGGTGGTGGTGGTTATTATGCAGGCGTTGGTTGTGGTGGTGGTGGTTGTTGTTCTGGTGGTTGTTATGGTGGTTATGATCATGGCGGTTGTTGTTGTTGTTGTCGTTGTTGTTGTTATAGTGGCGGTGGTGGTGGTTAGTATGCAGGTGGTGGTTGTGGTGGTGGTGGTTGTTGTTCTGGTGGTTGTTATGGCTGTTGTGGTTGTGGTTGTTGTGGTTGTGGTTGTGGTTGTTGTTGTTGTGGTTCTTGTTGTTGTTGTTGTTGTTGTTGTTGTTGTTGTTGTTGTTGTTGTTGTTGGTGTTGTGGTTGTTGTGGTTGTTGTTGTTGTTTTTGGTGTGGTTGCTGTTGTGTTTGTTGTTGTTGTTGTATTTCTTGTTGTTGTTCTTGTGGTTGTTGTTGTGGTTGTTGTGGTTGTTGTGGTGGTTGTTATTGTTGTCTTGGTGGTGGTGGTGGTAATGGTGGTGGTCGTGGTCGTGGTTGTTGTTGTCGTGGCAGTCGTGGTGGTTGTGGTGGTTGTGGTTGTTGCGGTGGTTGTTGTGGTTGTTGCGGTGGTGGTTCTTGTGATGGTGGTTGTTGTGATTGTGGTGGTTGTTGTGGTGGTTATTCTGGTGGTGGTTGTGGTGGTGGTTGTGGTGGTGGTTGTTGTTGTTGTGGATGTTGTTGTTGTGGTGGTGGTGGTTGTGGTGGTGGCTGTTGTGGTGGGTGTTGTGGTGGTTGCTCTGGTTGTGGTTGTGGTTGTGGTTGTGGTTGTGGTGGTGGTGATGGTGGTTGTGGTGATGGTGGATGTTGTCGTGGTGGTTGTTGTGGTGGTGGTGATGGTGGTTGTGGTGATGGTGGTTTTTGTCCTGGTGGTTGTTGTGGTGGTGGTTGTTGCGGTGGTGGTTCTTGTGGTGGTGGTTGTGGTAGTTGTCGTGGTGGTTGTGGTGGTGGTTGTTGTGGTGGTTGTGGTGGTGGAGGTTGTTGTGGCGGCGGTTGTTGTAGCGGCGTTTGTGGTGGTGGAGGTTGTTGAGGTTGGGTGGTCGTGGTTGTGGTGGTCGTGGTTGTGGTTGTAAAAGTTGTGGTGGTGGTGGTTGTGGTGGTGGTGGTGGTGGTGGTGGTGGTTGTGGTGGTGGTGGTTGTGGTTGT